ATAGGGGTGGGGTGGGGTGGTGAAGGGATAGGGGTGGGGTGGGGTGGTGAAGGGATAGGGGTGGGGTGGGGTGGGGTGGGGTGGGGTGGTGAAGGGATAGGGGTGGGATGGGGGGGGGATGGGGGTCGTCTCTCACCCGGAGAAAAGGGCCGCGGCCTACGGCGGTCAGGCCTCCCGCAAGAGCGATGTTCCCGCACCCGTCCTCGGGCTCCAGCTCCATCCTCCTCCCGTTCCTGGGAGGGAACTCACATTCCTCCCCTTGCTCTGAGGTGACGGTCACCGTGCGGTTCCTGTACAAGCTCGCCCTCCGCCGGCACCGGGAACGAGCGACACCGTCAGAGCGCTCCGAACTACAACTCCCAGGCTCCCCCGCGGGCGCCTGCGCCCTTGCGGACGGCCGCCTGCCCCGCGCGACACGAATGCGGAAACAGTGCGCGAGCGAGTGATGTCGCAGAAAAACAAAGATCAACGGCCGGAGATTTAAACCGAAAACAAACAAGATCCGAATGAAGTGAGAGAGAAAGACGGGGAGAAATGGGAATGGGAGAGAGGGAATGCGATTGGGGAATGGGGAGAGTGGGATGTGGATTGGGGGAATGGGGAGAGGGAGGATGGGGATGGGGAGAGGGGGGATGGGGATGGGGTGGGGGGGGGAGGGGGGGGGGGGGAGGGGGGGAGTGGGAGAGGGAATAGAGAGGTGAGTGAGTTGAGAGTGGGAGGGGGAATGGGCAGGGAGAGGACGATGAAGAGGTATGGGGTGGGGAGGAGGGGCTGGGTGGTTAGTGAGGGGTGGGCTGAGGGCGTAGGTGGGAGGGCATGGGGAGTGAGGGAGGTGGGCAAAGTGAAGGGGAGCAAGGATGGGAGGAGGAGAGAGTGGGGGCGACTGAGGATGAAATGGGCAAGTTGTAGAAACCGAGAAGGCAGTGCCTCCAGAAATAAGCAACAGTTTGGACCTCTCAAATTTCAAATCTAACATTGGTCTTGCTTTTTGTGCACCTTCTTTGCAGCCATAACTTTGTATTCCTTGCTCTGTTCAATCACCCTATGATCTTTGTATGTTATTATCTGCCTGTACTGCATGTAAACAAAACTTTTCACTGTACTTAGGTACATGTGACAATAATAAATCAAATCAAATACATGTCAAATCAGGACAGTCATCATCTCCAGGGCATTAACCATGGAACATGATAAATGAGTTACTGGTCATATGATGAACACAGAAAAGCATTGACGGAGGATGGGGTTTTAAAAAAAAATTGCCAGGTTAAACTACAAACGTGCACTAAAAGGACAGGTTAAACTATTACAGACTAAAACATGAACTTTACAGATTCAAAGATAACACGAACAATACATGGATAAGCAGTGTGGTGTTTTACAAGAAGTCTCTCAGTTTGCAGATTAAGGTACAGACTCAGGTTATACAGTTAATAGTGGCGGGATAACCTGGTGTAAGTTGGCAATTTGCAATACAGGACCCAATGACATATTCCAGATTTAAAGATAACAGGTGAGCAGATAAAACTCATATGCCAAACCCTTTCTGCTAATAACGAAATCAGTAATTGCTCTAAAAAGTCAGCAGGTCTGGCAGCATCTGGGGAAAAACAGCAAAATAAACATTTCAGGTCCAGTGATCCTTCTTGAGAACCTTCACTGGACCAGAAATGTTAACTCTGCTTTCTCTCTTCACAGATGCTGCCAGACCTGGTGAGTTTTTCTTGCAATTTTTGATTTTGTTCCTGATTTCCAATGACTGCAATTCTTTGGACTTTCCTTTCTGCTAATAATTTGCTGTGCATCTTGAACATTAAAAAATCTAAAAAAGGAATAAATCTGTAAACAATATTTTTCAGAGGCCTGCAGAGTAGTACGTAGCCTGAGGAAAAGAGACTGAGGAGCCAATAGACGACCAAAAGAAAGGAGACAAAAGAAAAGCAACAATGACAGTGATGTAAGAAATTCGCAAAAAAGAAAAGATGAATAATAAATAGATGGACAAGAAGTTTGGTGACAGAGTCTTATGTCAGTAAGACAGAAAATCAACCAATAAGACTAGTTAAAATTTGATTTGGTTTGTTTTAAAAGATCTTTTGAGATTCTGGAACAAAAAATTATGCAAAGGTCTTGCAAAAGAAATAAGCAGATTGCTAATGGTGAAGACAAAACTATTTTCTCCGCTGTGCAAAAAAATCTACAAAATCGTTTTGATTTTGCCCAGTTTTTGCCTCAAGAGTTAACTCTGAAAATTTTCAGTGAACTGGACATTCGAAGCTTGTCTAATGCTGCAATGACTTGCAAAGCGTGGAATGATCTGATCGAAACCAGTGACAGCCTTTGGTACAATCACTGCCTGACCATACTGGCTGTCTGCAAGCGGGAGCTGCAGTGGGATCGAGCACATGGACTTTCATGGAAGGTTTGTGCAGTTGGCAATAATTTACATGAAAGTTTAGGCATTTTTATTGTCCAGCTGCACCCTGTTCCTTTTTACTCAGAGTGTTTCACTGTCACTTTTGTTTCTCTTTTTCACCAGTATTCTCCCCGTTGTTGTCCATTATATCATTGTAAGTGCAAACTTTATCAGAATGGGAACAGTTTAAGAAGAATGCTCATTCCATCCAGCAGGGAGCAGCATGCACTTTTGATATAAACAATTATTAGCAAAGCACAGAATAGACAAATATGGTAGTGCCAATGACTACATGAGATGAGGACGACTGTGATAGAAGTTAAGAGGATCTGGAAAGGCTGGTGGAGTGGGCACCATACAGTAAATCAGGTAAACAGTGATGTAGTGATAATGTCTTTGGACTAGTACTACTGCTACTGCTCTGGAGATGTGGGTTCAGTTGTGGACAGGCCAGTTTGGAAAGAACATGAAGGTTTTGGAGAGAATACGGATAGCGTTCACTAAAATACTTCAGTGGATGAGAGATTGCTGTTATGCAGGGAGACTGGAGAAGCTGGGATTGTTCTCCTAAGTGTAGAAAAGCCTAAAAGGAGATTTGATGAAGCATTGAGAGAGTAAATAAAGAGGATCTATTTCCAGTTGATAACCAGTGGATACAATTTTAAGTTGATTAGTAAAAGAATGAGGAGCAACATAAGAAAATTATTTTTTGCAACAAACAGTCATCATGTGGCATGTGCTGTCTTATAGACTGATAGAAACAGTTTTGAAAGGAAACCCCCAAAAGAGAATTAGATAAATGATGAGAAAGAAAATGTTTCAGGAAAATGGGAAAAGAGCTGACTAGAGAGATCAACTTGATGGATCTTTGAAAGAGCTGGCACAGACTTGATGATCTGAATAGCCACCTTCAGGATATTTTCTGGTCAACCTGTACAGAGATATTATTACATACCTCTAGAGCAGGTGCAATTTGAAACCAGGTCTCCTGCTATATTATTCAATGATTTTTATGAACTCTTATGTTCACGGTATAGGACGTTTAAGGCTAACCACCTTTTATGATGTGACTTTCACAGAATAAGCAGAATATAAGCAGAGTTGATCAATACCTGGAGAGAAAAGGCAGATTATTTGTTTGAAAATAAAAATGGAAAATACTGGTATTACTGAGCAGGTCTTGCAGCATTAGGTTGGGTGAAGTTTAAGATAAAATCAATTTTGAGTGAGGACTGGTGAGATAAGGACAAAAGAAAGGCCTATGATAAAGTGGAAATCAGGAGGAACTGAATGACAGAAAAGCTAGATCCAACGGCCAAAGAGAATAGAGGTGGGACAAGGAAGGAAACAAAAGATGTGCTGAGAGCAGGTGCTGCTGACTGGAAAAAAAATTAAGAGAAAGGAAATCGAAACAGTGGTCAAGGAAAGGAAGGAAAAACTTGGAATTGGTCCAAGTGAAACTGAAAGAAGGGTATAAATTGGAGATTTCCACTTCAGGGTTAGAGTTGAAGGAGAGGGTCTGAGTCGGACTGAAACAAGGAATGTTCCACATTTCTGAAAAAAAGATAGGCATGGCTAGGATCCAAATGAGTATGCATAGCAACACCTGTATGGAGGTAGTGAGATGAATTAAGGGAGAAATTGTTCAGTCAGATCACAGGTTCTGCCAGATGGGGGAGACTGGTGGTCAACAGACACTGTTCTTGTATTTTTCTTTCAATCTGGCACCTGATCTTGGCACATCCCTTAAAGTCATACAGCACTGAAATAGACCCTTTGGTCCAACCAGTCCATGCCAACCATAATTCCAAACTAAACTAGTCCCACATGCCTGCACTTGGCCCACATCCCTCCAAACATTTCTTACTCATGTGCTCATCTAAATGTCTTTCAAATGTGGTAACTGTACAAGCATTTACTAATTCCTCTTGAAGTTCATTCCAAACACCAACCATACCCTGCGTAAAAGAAAAAATTCCCCCATATCCTATTTAAATCTTTCTCCTCTCACCTTAAAAATATCACCCCTAGCCTTGAAATCCCCCACGCTAGGGAAAAGACACCTGGCATTCACCCTATCTGTACCCCTCATGATTTTACAAACCTCTCAACCTTTACAATCCAGTGAGAAAAGTCCCAGCCTATCTAGCCTTTCCTTATAACTCAAGCCTTCCATTTGCGGCAACAGCTTGGTAAATCTCTTCTGAACCCTCTCCAGCTTAATAATATCCTTCCTATTAATAGGGAGACCTGCTCTCGGCACGTCTTTTGTTTTCTTCCTTGTTCCATCTTCGTTCTGTTTGACCCTCAGGTCTAACGCTTCAATTTGTCCTGTCTTCCTATCACAGATCCTTTTGTTCTTGTCCTACCCAGCACCCACTCAAAACCTATTCCATCTCTTAAGTTCTGATAAAAAATTATCAATTTAAATCATTAGCTCTGTACCTCTCTCCACATACGCTGAGTGTTTCTAGCATTTTCCGTTCCTATTTCAGATTTCTGGCACCAGCAGTGTTCTGATTGCAGGTCACTGTGTTCCCTTTTATTAATGTTAATGAACCATTGTAGTTTTTGAATCACTTTACTTCACCATCATGATTTGGAAATATATCGCTATTCTGTCGTGCGGTGAAAATCTCGGAACTCCCTCCCTGACAACATTGTGGGTCTACCTACAGCACATGGACTGAAGCGGTTCAAGAAGGCAGTTCACGACCACCTCTCCAAGGGCAATGAGTAATAAATGTTAGCCCAGCCAGTGATGCCCACATTCCCATGAATGAATAAAAAAATTCCTTCTGGGTATTTTCTCAGAATTTCAACATTTCTAGTAGTTTCTTCCTTCATACTGCCCACATTTGTAGAGTTCTGCAATAATACTTGTTGCAATCTTTCTTACAAAATGAGTTTTTATTAGTATTAAAAGTTGGATTGTTCCATCTGTAATAATTGTGGTGACCACTGCAAGCATACAGTGTACTTTAGTTTGGCATATTCAATGATTTGACTGACAAAGCAAGTCCTAAAGGGATTATAAATGGAAAAAATGAAAACATCCACATCCCTGAGTTCATAATCATTGTTTTTCATTTTTCAAGTTGTAGGAACATAGGAAACAGATTATGGCCATTCAGCTTCTCAAGCTTACTCTGTCATCCTAAATAATGGATGATAATCTACCTCAATGCCATATTCCCATGCTAACCTCATATTCTTTGATATCATTAATAACCAGAAATCTATAAATCTCTGACTTTAACCTATTTAATCACTGAGCTTCCACAACCCTCTGGGGTAGAGAATTCCAAAGATTCATCACCCTCTAAGTGAAGATATTTCTCCTCACCTCAGTCCCGAAAGACTTGCCTGTTATTCTGACACCATGGCCTCTAGCTGTAGGCATTCCCCTCCCCACCCCCAAGCCAGAAGCAACGTCCTTTGTGCATCCAATCTGTCTATCTCTTTACGAATTTTGCAAGTTTTATAAGGTCACCTCTTATTCTCTTGAATGTAAGAGAATACAGACCCAATATCCTTAATTTCTGCTCATAGGGCAGTCCCATCATCCCAGGAATACCTCTATGGCAAGTAAACCTTGTTTAGGCAAGGGGATCAGAACTGCATGCAGTATTCCTAGTGTGGTTTAACCCAGGTTCTATACAATTGAAATTTTTCTACCTCTGTGCTCAAATCCTCTTGTGATAAAAATTAACATGCCATTAATATTCCAAATAGCTAGCTTTCACTCATTTTGGAACATGGAGACCTAGGCCCCTTCGGAGTTACCAGTTTCTCAACTTTTTAGAAATACTCTGAACCTTCATTCCTCCTGCTTAAGCGGATATTGTCACCCTTATCCACATCATAGTCCATCTGTCAAGCTCTTGTCCACTGACTCAGTATGTCTAAATCCATCTGAGTCCCTTTGCTTCCTCCTCACAACTCATAATCCCACCAATGATTTGTATCATCTACAAACTTAGAAATATTACAGTTTGTCCCCACATCCAAACCATTGATATGGATTAAGAACAGTTGGGGCCCAAGCACTGATTCCTACAGTACCTCACTGGTCACAGCCTGCCAACCTGAGAATGCACCATTTATTCCTGCTCTGTTTTCTGCCTGTTGGTAACATCCTGGAAAAGCACCATCAGGCTCGTCAAACATGATTTCCCCTTCATAAATCCATGTTGATTTTGCCCAATCAGACAATTATTTTCTAAATATCCACAGTAATAGCTCAGAGTATTTTTCTTATTCCTGAAATCAGACTGAAGTCTGTAATCCCCTGCTTTAGAACGTCCTTCCTTTATGATCTGATTTTATGCATCTCACTATATACTTTAATATGCTGTTCACTAAATTCACTTAATTAAATGCTTGGTCTTCTTTTGCTGAATTCTAAAATTCTCCCAATCCTTGGGCTTGCAACATTGTTCTCTCTTAACCAGGAGTTTAATCCATTTTCTTTCATCTTTGGGACTTAGCTTCAATCCATTTCAGACTGATGCAATGAAAATATTCTTTTTTTCCCTGTTTGAAGAAATTATGTATGCAGTGTGGGCATTTTTAACCCAGTTAGAACCCAGGTTTATTCTATAATCAGCCATACTGTTGGGATTGGAGGATTTCTCAGCCACCTGCATTCTCTTTCTGCTGGCTGCGTAAAGTTTCCACACTATAGAGAGAATTATAACCTAGCCATCATAACAAACTTAACACTTTGCATTCATTTTTTGAAGCGAGATTTCAATTGCATCTTCCACAAGTAAACCTTTAACCCTAATACTGCTTTAAAAAATTAACGAGTTTACCAATCTCCAGTCTTCCAAGAGATTGCAAAACGTGTGGTTATTACTTCACAGGAATGTTATCAAGCACAATTTCTCACCAAGCCCCAATTGAAGATAGTGGACAGAAGATGAAAAGCTTGCTCAAAGAAGTCGGAATAAGGAGCTTCTGAAATGAGGTAGAGAGGCAGACCGGTTTAGATGGGGAATTCCAGAATTTGCAGTTACGCTGGTCGAGCAATGAAAACTCGGGGTGGTTTTAAAATTGAATGACCAGGATACAAAGTAGATCAGAAAACGTAAGCGTTGATGGCTAGTCATGGAGTCATACAGCACAGAAACAGACCCTTTAGTCCATGCCAAACATAATCCCAAACTAACTTATCCCACCTGCCTGGTCCTGGCCCAAATCCCTCCAAATCTTTCCTGTTCATATGCTTATCCAAATGTCTTTTTAAATGTTGTAATTGTACCCATATCCACCACTTCTTCAGGAAGTTCGTTCCACATGTGAACCACCCACTGTGTAAAAAAATGCCCCTCATGTCTTTTTTAAATCTCTCTCCACTCACTTTAAAAATGGACCCCCTAGTCTTGAAATCCCCTATCCTCCGCAAAAGACAACTACCGTTAACTCTCCCTATACCCTCATTATTTTATTAACTTCTATAAGTTCGCCTCCCAACCTCTTATACCCCAGTGAAAGAAGTCCTAGCCTGTCCAGACTTATTTTATAACTCAAACCTTTCATTCCCGGTAATGTCCTGGTAAATCTCTTCTGAACTCTCTCCGGCTTAATAATATCCTTCCTATAACTGGGTGACCAGAACTGGATGCAGTGCTCCAGAAGAGGCCTCACCAGTGTCCTGTACAACCTCAACATGACTTCCCAACTCCTGTACTCAAAGGACGGAGCAATGAAGGCAAGTGTGCCAAACCATTTTTAACTGCCCTGTCTATATGTGATGCAAACTTCAAAGAATTATGTACCTGAATGCCTAAGTCCTTCTGCTCTATAACACTACTCAAGGCAACATAGTTTCATAATAAATGATAACTTTTGTTGTATAAAATCATGCAATGCTGAAAAATAACAAAACTGATCAGCCTTCTTTTCTTCAGTCATTCAGAAATGAAATCAGATATCCATATTTAATATGCAGCATTTTCATCAAATATCATTTTCTACTTACTGCAAATGCATTATTGCCAGGTGGAATGATCTTAATTGTTCAGCTTTTGTTTCATAAATGATAAAAGTAATATTAAAGTTGAGACATTTTCTTTTCTTAATATGTAGGTTACTCTGATGAGGAACTACAAGAAAAGCAACATAAAACGAGCATGGTTAGATGGTCAGTACAGTTACATTCATTCTGCAGCCGAGCTTCTACACAACAGTATGTGTGAAATGGATGCAGATGCTTGGGGAGAGATACTGGAGGCTGAACTGGAAAGATAGTGTTGTGTTAATTTGGACCATTTATTGCAGCATCATGCACTCACAAAAAAAGCTAAAAGCACTAGAATAAAAGTATTTGTTTTATTCATCAAATGGTTTATGCTTTAAAAAATAGTAAACAAGAAATTTTATTGCATTTGTCATCTTTTAATTGAATACTTAAAGATGGAATTTATTTAAAAATTGCAATTTTATTGAAATATTTAAAAGTAAAGAACCTTTTTTAAGAAATGCGTTCTACTGTTTTAAGCACTTTTGGGTTTTTTTGTAAATTTATCATGGAGATTGTGATAATAGTACTGTAAATTTGGTTCCTGTCTGTTTGTACTATACAGTCAGAAATAAACCTTGGACATTGTTTTTTCGACTAATTCGTCTGCTGCTAATTTTGGCAATTCTGTAATTCAGTCAACACCACTAAAAAAATCTAATTGATTTAAAGGTGTGCTACAAGAGTGAATATAATCATTACTTTTACAAATCTTAATAATATTGAATAATTCTGTCAACACATTTGTTTCTGTTAACCTTGAGGTATTTATTACTGAAATTATACAGTTATCACATTCCTGATGACTTTGTTGATCAGTGCTAAGACTGAACAAAACAGATTGAAAGGTTCACTGCTGGTCTGGGCTAGGTTAGAAATATTGTAGTTCACCTTTGTGCCTTTGGTAGGAATCCGGATAATAATCACTTCCATTTGTAATCATATCTTTTTATTCCTGGAATATGAGTTCAGTTGCTAAAACTAGAGGGCATAGGTTTAAGGTGAGAGGAGAGAGATACAAAAGGGTCCAGAGGGACAGTTTGTTTCATACAGGGTGGTGAATATCTGGAATGAGCTGCCGGAGGTAGTGGTGGAGGCGAGTACAACTTCGTTATTTAAGAACATTTAAACAGGTACATGGATGGGATAGGTATGAAGGAATATGGACCAAATGCAGGAAAATGGGTCTAGTTTAATTGTGAAAATTGGAAGGCATAGACAAGTAGGTCCAAAGGGCCTGTTTCCATGATGTATGGCTATGACTCCCTCAAGTCTCTCTCCTGTCAGAAGCTTTGTATCTATTAAATAAGTAGAATGTTATGAATATTGTCGAAGATTGGTAATTGCTTCACTCCTTCAGAAAGGAATCCTCTTTTTAATCATTAATGGGGATAACCTGATTTCCCTGGAGAAGATTAGCTACGTTCTTGACAACTGAGTGGATTCCTAGTCTATTTCTCAGGGCAGTTAAGTCACCTACTTTGTTGTCAGTCTGGAGTCCCTTACAGTCCTACAGACTGAGTAAAGATGGTAGTTTTCCATCCTGAAAGGAAATTAAAGAACCCAAGGATTTTGTCTCAAAACCTGATAGTATCGTGATTACCTTTATTTGTTACTTGCCTTTTATTGCAGATTTATTTAATTAATTAAATTTAAATTGTTCAGCTGCCATGGTGGAATTAGAGTAGTTATGTAATAGATTTGGCCATTGGATTCCTAGTCCAATAGCATGATAACCACTCACCACTATTTCACACTTGGAATCCTGAAGCCAATTGTAATGACCCACAGCGAGCTCTGTATAAACATGGAAACATAGAAGATAGGAACAGGAGAAGGCTGAATAGCCTTTCGAGCCTGCTCTGCCGTTCATTACAATCATGGCTGATCGTCCAACTCAGTAACCTAATCCTGCTTTCTCCCCATAACCTTTAATCACATTCGCCCCAAGCGCTATATCTAGCTGCCTCTTGAATACATTCAATTTTTGGTGTCAACTACTTCCTGTGGTAATGAATTCCACAGGCTCACTACTCTTTGGGTGAAGAAATGTCTCCTCATCTCTGTCCTAAATGGTCTACCCTGAATCCTCAGACTGTGACCCCTGGTTCTGGACACACCCACCATCGGGAACATCCTCCCTGCATCTACCCTGTCTAGTCCTGTTAGAATTTTATAAGTCTCTATGAGATCTCCCCTCATTCATCTGAACTCCAACAAAAACAATCCTAACCTAGTCAATCTCTCCTCGTAAATCAGGGTAATCCAGATCAAGCATTAAACTTCTAAGCAGCAAATGGAAAACTCGCTTTGGAATTTATTTCACTTGTTTACTATCTTGCTAGTAGATAGCATTCAGTGAGATAAAAGATCATTTCAGTTGTCCTGTACCTGCATTTTGGGTGAATCTGGAGGTTCCATTATACAGCATGTGCAAGACTATTAATGTGGAGGAACTCTTCAACTTTCACTTGAAAATAATTTTTGAATATTTATCTGCCAGAGACAATTCTCAGATTAGAAGATGCATTCAACCCGTCAGGGTCTGCCTATAAGAAAAATACTGCCCTTCTCCTTTGTACACAACTTATTCAGACTCCCATTGTGCAAGAGCATAGTGCAAGTTGAAACCAAAAATATGAGCACAAGTGATAAAATCCCACATGTAGGAAGTGCAGACTTGCAAAATTTTTAATAAGATGTAGACACTTGTGTATATTGGCATGTACGTGTATTAGTGCACAGGAGTCTGCTCTTTGTAGACAGAAAGAACATATACATGCACTTGGCCTGTTTCAACTCAACAAAGTAAGTGACAGCCATTTGCTGGTTCATGCCTAAGGCAATGCCTTGCCCAAGCAGACTCAACCAGACTAGTTTAAATTTAAACAAGCTTGGTAGTTAACTGTCAGTCAACATCCAACTAGTGTATTCTCCATGGCAATGCCTCTGCCAAAGAGAGCTCACTTGTCAACCAATTAGCACACTGTTTTCACAGAGTATAAAAATGTAAATAATCCTGATGAGTGCAAACAAAAAAGCTTCAACAATTTTTCTGTATTTTCTCAGCACTATTAAGTTGTCTCGTACTAAATTTGAGATGGATAGACATTAACAAAAGATATTAAGGAATATGGGACAAAGGCGGGAATGTAGAGTTAGATTGCAATGAGCCATGATCTGATGGGAATGGCAGGACAAGCTGTTGAGGTTAAATGACCACCTTCCCAAATGATTGTGTGTCTCACGGCAACAGTATTCTCTGTGCTTTACAATAGCTTAACCACTTCATATTTTGCATGGTGTAATCCAAGGGGATGACTTGATTATGCTTACTTGAGCTTAATTGAACTCTGAAAAAGAAAATTATGTATAAGAGTCTGAAAGGGTTATTTGCCTGGAAGACTGAGAGTTGTAGGAACAGGAGTATGGTGGCTCAGTGGTTAACACTGCTGCCTCACGGCTCCAGGGACTCAGGTTCAATTCCACCTTTGGGTGTCTGTCTTTGTGGAGCTTTCGCATTCTCCCCGTGTCTGTGTGGGTTTCCTCTGGGTTCTCCAGAATCCTCCCAGAATCCAAAGATGTGTAGGTTAGTTGGATTGGCCATGTTAAATTGCCCATAGTGTCCAGGCTAGTTGAGTTAGCCGTGGGAAATGTAGGGTTACAGGGATAGGGTAGGGGCAATGTCTAGGTGGGATGTTCTTCTGAGGGTCGGTGTGGACTTAATGGGCTGAATGGCCTGCTCCCACACTGCGTAGGAGTAAGCCATTCAGACCGTCAAGCCTGCCCTGCCATTCGATAAGATTGTGGTTGAGGACAACTCTTCTAGATTCATGAGGAGTCGATTCCAGCGTCGTCTCTCTCCAATATTCAAATGAAGAAGGAAATGTAAGATTGAATTGTGTTGCTATACTTCACACCAATAGTTGGTGATGCAGCTCATAAATATACATGTGATTGTAGGAAGTAGCGCCCAGCTAATCAGCTCGGCACAGACACAGTAATACACAGATAGTTTTAAAACATTGTTAAGTGAAAGTTGATCAAAAACAAAGTTTCTGCCAATTTACATTTCACTTGTGTGGAATTAACAAATAGTGACATTTCAACAATACCAGAGATTGGATAATTGTGACTTTTCTGTTAACTTTGAGTACTGGACTTTACAGTAAGTAATTGTAAGGGGAGGCAATGGCCCAGTGGTGTTATCACTGGACTGTTACTCGAGAGACCCAGGTAATGTTCTAGGCGACAAGGTGCAGAGCTGGATGAACACAGCAGGCCAAGCAGCATCAGAGGAGCAGAAAGGCTGACGTTTCGGGCCTAGACCCTTCATCAGAAAAGGGGGAGGGGAAGGGGGTTCTGAAATAAATAGGGAGAGAGTGGGAGGCGGATAGAAGATGGATAGAGGAGAGGACAGGTGGAGAGGAAACAAACAGGTCGAAGAGGCGGGGATGGAGCCAGTAAAGGTGAGTGTAGGTGGGGAGTTAGGGAGG